GTCTTGGCTGGAGTGGGAGGAATCATTTACTGCCTTCATGGCTTTCTTTGACAGCGGTGCTAAGGTCCTTCGATCCGCAGATGAACTCCTGCCGCTTTACCATCGGTTTAATGGTTACGCACTCTTCCGGGGAATTCTTGTTTATCCCGAGACAGTCGCGGCTTTGAAGAAATTTCTGGACAAGTACGGGGATTTCATGGACATGACTGGTATTACTTCTTCATTCTCGCGCTGTGCTGCTTTTCGGGCCCTTGGCTTGGTGCTCCATGGGATGGATACCGTGCAGCTACTGGACATTACTGATCACAGGCTCCTCTACTGGCGGGATGCAGTTTGTGAGGCTACGACTCTGGGCTTTCGAGCAGAGTCTCTTCTGAACCTGGTGAAGGGTTTGGCATGTGCTGCATTTGGGGCACGGGCAGTTCATAACATGAAGTCAAATCCCGGCCCGAATGAAATAAGGGCAGCAGCAGAGGCTTTGGTCTTCAAGCAATTCAAGCAGCACGAACTGGAAAACCAGCACAGGGAATTGCGTGGCCTGCTTTCTGCCCAAGGTGTCTCTTCCGACAGTGCTGACTGCGTGATGGAGGCAGTGACAAGATCTTCTCACGGGGCCTCCTCCGTTCCCTTCTAGCCATCCTTGGTGGTACTTTGAGGTTCGTGACTTTTCGTCCTTCCCTCATGTTTCCTCATTCTACATATGTTCAATGTTACTCTGATTTCTCCTGACATTCCATTTTTTGTTCTGTTTTGCAGGTCGCATTTTGCTTGGTGTAGGATTGACTAGCTTGACACATTCTAGAGTTTCGTTCAAGATTGAAGCGCACACTACTTTTTAGCATGTATAGCTTGATTTTGACTTATGTTGTAAGACAATACAGTACCTGCATATAAGCGACAGCTTCTGAGACGGAGAACAGACATGGTGCTGCATAAATGAGAAGGACTAGTTGATGAATATTCACAAAATTTTATTCGGAATGTTGAAGATTAACCATGTTAAGTTTGGAAAAACAATGCAGGGTTATGATACAATATTAGGAGAGCGGGGAATTCAATTGTCTGGTGGACAGAAGCAAAGGGTGGCAATTGCACGAGCTATAATGAAGGCACCATTGATACTACTACTAGATGAAGCCACAAGTGCTCTTGATGCTGAATTGGAACGAGGGGTTCAAGATGCATTGGACCAAATCATGGTGGATCTAACGACAATCGTGGTTGCCCATCGGTTATCCACAATAAAGAGTGTGGATGTAATCGCAGTGGTGAAAAATGGAGTCATTGCAGAGAAAGGAAAGCATGAAACTTTGATCGGTATCAAGGATGGCATTTATGCTTCTTTGGTAGCATTGCATGCAAGTGTCTCATCTTAGATAGCTTTTATTCAGAGAGGTAATGTAATTTAATTTTATTCCGAGAGGTAAATTACCAATAGGAATAGATCATTTGTTAATTATCCTTTGTTCTTGTAAGCTCCACTTGAAGGGCTCATTCAATTTCATGTGTTTTACATCTTTAAATATTGAGGAGAGGCCTCATCTCCTCAGAAAACGATAAGTAAATGTGCATAAGGAAATGTCATCCAGTTCCTTCTTCCCCAATTCCTTCTTCCCAATCCAACTTCAATTTGAATTCGAATTCAAATTCAGTCTTCAGATAGATTTTAATTCAATGCATCCATGGCGGGCCGAATCAAACAATTAGATAGTCTCTTCGTGCCATGTTGGAAGAACCTGTGCGCCACATACACAAAGTTATAATACCAGAGTAATAAATGTGAAAATAGGAACTTTCATAGGAAGTTCTTATTGCTAATGTTTTAACAGCACAATGAATGCCTGCTTTGCATTTGCACTATGAGACTAACCAAAATAAAAGCTTCATAGTGTACCTTACAGCTCGATTAGATAGCATCTTCGTGCCATGCATAGCCCTCTTTACATAACCAAATCGATCAGCCTTCACTAAGTTGCCTTTCTCTTTGTCTATGACAAGGCCTCTAATAACCTATGGGAAAGGACGGAACAAAGGTAGGAAGGAAATGCTTTGTTATAAATTCCCAAATCAAAGTTGCTGTGTATAGTTTCTAGATGTATTTTTATTAGAAAATAAATTCTTTATATATACATGCAAAACATTCCAAGTGCGTCCTAACTGTGAGAGGTTGGTTACTGACTAGTATCACCAGTTGACTAGCCTCTCACAGCTCACATGCGCATACACTACTACAAAATAACCCTTGCGCGACCAAATTTTGCTCGACGAAAAATTATTCGTCGCTCAAAGTCACTTTGCGCGATGAAATTCAAAACTTCATCGCTAAAAACCTTGCGCGACCAACTTTTGTGCGACGAAAAATAATTCGTCGCTCAAAGTCACTTTGCGCGACCAACTTTTGCGCGACGACAATACGTCGTTGCTCAAAGTCTTGCGCGACCAAATTTTGCGCAACGAAAAAAAATTCGTCGCGCAAAGCTACTTTGAGCGACGAAACAACAACACTTCGTCGCGCAAAGTCCTTATAAAATAAATAAAATAAGAAAATTTATTTTTAAAAATCTTTGTTAGAAAAATATATTATTGTTGTTTGGATTGGGTTTTTGTTAGAAAATATATTTTTTAAATTGACGATCGAATTAGTTCATTGTATTCATATAGGGTCAAAGAGTGTAGCTATAAAAAATCATCAAAATCGGAGTTAAAATAACCTTTAAATCGTGATTTTTCATTTATAACCGTTGAAAAGTTATGTCTCATTACTTGATCTCTGAATGTTTATTTTTCCGATTTTTGGCATATGTGATCTCGAAGTATAAACAAACAAGTTTGACGGTTGGATCATTCAAACTAGTTTCATAGAATGCGTATGCCATCAAAACAATATATTCACTAACAATTAAGAGTTTATTTATACTTTTGTTAAATATAACATAAGATTTTGTGGTATCCACTAGTGTAAATATTTTAAATTGAAGATCAAATTCAGTCATTGTATTCATATAGGGTAAAGGAGTGGAGTGGTAAAAAATCATCAAAATCGGAGTTAAAATAACTGTTAAATCGTGATTTTTCATTTATAACCGTCGAAAAGTTTTGTCCCGTTACTTGATCTCTGAATATTTATTTTTTCCGATTTTTGGCGTATATGATCTGAAAGAATAAACAAACAAGTTGATGGTTGGATCATTCAAACTAGTTTTGTAGAATGCGTATGCCATCAAAACAATATATTCACTAACAATTAAGAGTTTATTTATACTTTTGTTAAATATAACATAAGATTTTGTGGTATCCACTAGTGTAAATATTTTAAATTGAAGATCAAATTCAGTCATTGTATTCATATAGGGTAAAGGAGTGTAGCGGTAAAAAATCATCAAAATCGGAGTTAAAATAACCGTTGAATCAAGATTTTTCATTTATAACCGTCGAAAAGTTTTGTCCCGTTACTTGATCTCTGAATGTTTATTTTTTGCGATTTTTGGCGTATATGATCTCGAAGTATAAACAAACAATTTGACGGTTGGATCGTTCAAACTAGTTTCATAGAATGTGTATGCCATCAAAACAATATATTCACTAACAATTAAGAGTTTATTTATACTTTTGTTAAATATAACATAAGATTTTGTGGTATCCACTAGTGTAAATATTTTAAATTGAAGATCAAATTCACGATTGAATTAGTTCATTGTATTCATATAAGGTCAAGGAGTGTAGCTGTAAAAAATCATCAAAATCGGAGTTAAAATAACCGTTAAATCGTGATTTTTCATTTAGAACCGTTGAAATTTTTTGTTCCGTTACTGGGTCTCCGAATGTTTATTTTTTGCGATTTTTGGGATATACGATCTTGAAGTATATACAAACAAGTCTGACGGTTGGATCGTTGAATGGTGTTATATATTTATTTACTTATTAAGTAGCTTTAAATTTATTTATTTTGTACGTATAACACTTAAGAAATAATTATATTTTAAATCGTAAAAAAAAATAATTTTATTTTTTATTATTCATAACAAATATTTTTATAAATATCGTGCTACAAACCAATTTTTCTTCTCTCAAAAGTTTGCGCGACCAACAATTCGTTGCGCAAAACTCTAAAAATTTGGGCGGGTACCAAAAATGGGACGCAGGATTTTTTTTTAAAAAAAAATTTAGACTTTGCGAGACCAACTTATATTTTTCGTCGCGCAAAAATTTGGCGGGTACCAAAAATGGGA